TAACCCGTTCAATTAATATTCATATGCTTTTTAAATTTATATAAAATAATAAGAATTTAAGTTTGAATGCATTAATATTTATAAGGAGAGCATTAATATGAACACAATTTTCTTTTTAAATTTATATAAAATAATAAGAATTTAAGTAATATTAATGGCCCCTAATCCTATACTGACTCCGTTACTTGTCACTGATTATATATGTGCCGTCCACATAGTAGTACATAAAATTTAATATGTAAATTTATTAATAAAAAAAAAGTAAATGAGTTTCTCGTGGATTGGACAAGGCATTATTAAAATAAATAGTAGGTACAATTTTTTTTTCTTTCTTTTTTTTGCCTTCCACTTATTTTAGGGCAATTGATAAGATCACATGGCCTATAGATCTAATGAATTGACTTGACAGATGTTTCAAATAAAACAAAGCTTAATTTCTGAGGTAATTTAAATATAAATTAAGCAATACAAATATTCCAATTATTGTTGTAGTAGAAATGAAGATGGGGGTGATTGTACTATAATTATAGTGGTTAATAAGTAAGTTTTCAAGAAAATGTATACTTTTTATTAGGGTTGTTCATTCGGTTTATTATTCGGTAAATGTCTAAACGGCACAAATTTTTGAAGTACCGAAATTTCGATTTACTGAAATTCTGGAACGGGTTTGATCTATTTTACATAATGAACACCCCTATTTTATATACGTCGTTTTTGGCGGTTTTCATATACTTGATGATTATTTATGTTTCACTTTACCTTCTGAAAAGTCAGACAACAAAGAAAATTTGTACTGTTAAGTATAAACTACAAAGATATACTCCTTTAATTTTCTCTCTTTACAGGTAAATTTTTGTCTTAACCTTTCATAATTTATTTATTTATTTTTCTAAAAGAACTTTTTTTCTTTTCATAGAATAGTTTTCTACTTCATTATTGTCAATGTATTTCATACATTGGGCAATATTTGAACATGAACAAGTGTATGTTCGTAAAAACGAACATGAACATGTGCCGGTTTTAGCCTGAAAGGCATGTGTAAAGAACTCAAAATCGTACCCCGTCAACGAGTTGGAGCAGTGTTCTCTGTTTTAGGGATGCATATCTAAATGATAGACAAATGTTTATTACAAAAGTAATTATTAGAAAAATTAATTTAATTTTAAAAATTGGATTTAATGTAAGAAGGTAAACATGCAATTTGAAAAAAAAAAGTAGAAAGATAAAAGGACGGAGAAATAAAGTACGAGAGAGATAAAAGATAATGTAAACTATGGCAACGGCACTAGTTTGCGGTTGGAACGTTTCGGAACCACTAGTTTACGGTTTTTAGTGGTCGAAATTACGGAACCGTATAAAATTGAACCGTAACAAGTTGGGCAATGTTTGCATGTTCGGTACTGTTTTAATTTTCTTTCCATTGTTTCTTAAAGCGAATTCTAGTTTCTTAAACTAAAAAAAGAAACAATACAACAAAAAATTAAAAGTTTTTCTCTTCTTCAAATATCATTTGATCGGTGCAGTACAAAGTGTCTTAAAAATAAAACAATTAAACGTTGGTTATATTTTTCAGAACATTCTTCTAAAATATCTTTTTTCACTGCATTTAGGTATATGATTTGATTGTATCTTTCTTTATTTTTCAAAATATAAACAAACATCATCTATTCTCAAATGTTATTATTACATTCATTATGAGTGCCATATTTGATAAATTAAATGGTCGATCATGGCAATTTTTTTATTATTATTTAAAACTTCAAAAGATTTATGTAATTATTTTTCTACTTTGGTACCGATTTATTTATTTATTTATTAACATTTCATGCATGCTTATTAGGAGCAAACATGGATCGATTCGGCTTCAGTTTAAGCCAAAACTTAACATATATCAAGTATGCAAAAATCCAATACGATAAGTTTTTACCTCGCTTTGATAGGGCTATATTTATTTTAAACAGCTGATAAACTCTTACTTCTAATAAATTATTTTAAAAGTTGATAAGTTGTTACATACTCCATACTCTACTCAGGGAGTTTTATATTTTAAAATTGCTATTAATTAGGGCATAATCAACTTTTTTTAATAATATTTCCATGTGGCAATTAATGAGTGGCGTCTGATTTTACTATTTAAATAGACAATTCGGTCCAAATTTACTTCCTAAATAAAAAAGTCGTATAGATCGATCGAGTTACTTTAAAATAAATGTTAAAATCTCTCCCAACACGTTAAATTTTTTAAATTTTAGAATCTTTTTAAATATTTTACCAAACACTTTAAAAAGAAATTATAAACTCTTAAACAGCTCATAAGTTCTTGCTAACTGCCGATAAACTTGGCCAAATTTCATCTCGATTTCGATTGGCTCCCTCAGATCTGAAATCCATGTTGAGTAATATATTTTTTTTTACGTAAAATTGGACAGCAAAAAATGTTGGAAAATAGTAACCAATAGAAAAATAGAAAAAATAAATAATAAACATAATTGGTCCAAGTTTATTTCTTATATAAAATAAACATGTGTAGATTAAAAAAAAATATATATTCAAAAAAAGGCAAAATGAAGGGTGTGCACATCATCGTCAAATTCAAAAGAGTGAATTATGAAAACGACCCCCATTTTGTCCTTTTTATCACAATTAACCCCCCAACGTCATCATTCATTCACTCTGGTAGCCTTTTAAAGCAGCAGCCCCCCCCCCTCCCCTTAGTGCCACCACTTTCTCCTATTAACTAATCACATCTCTCTCTCTCTCTCGGCTGCTACAGCTAGTGTGTGTGTTTGTGTGTGAGAGAGAAAGACAGAGGAGAAGTACTCTGTCTCTCTATATATATATATACACACACACACACACACTAAACCTTGTAGCAATTGTGTAAAACTAGTAGTACCAAATAGCAATTATGGGAAGATCACCTTGTTGCTCAAAAGTAGGGTTGATGAGAGGGCCATGGTCAACTAAAGAAGATACTTTGTTGACCAATTACATTCAAGAACATGGTGAAGGCCAATGGAGATCTCTCCCCAAGAATGCTGGTAATTTTCTTTTTTTCTGAATTTTATTGTTATTGCATATTTAGTCCCTGAAGTAATGGTTATTTGCAAACAGGGCTGTTGAGATGTGGGAAGAGTTGCAGATTGAGGTGGATGAATTATCTAAGGCCGGGAATAAAGAGAGGGAATATAAGTGAAGATGAAGAGGATTTGATCGTACGGCTGCACGGCCTCCTCGGAAATCGATGGTCCTTAATCGCCGGCAGATTGCCAGGTCGAACTGACAATGAGATCAAGAATCACTGGAATACACACCTCCTTAAGAAACTCAAAAACTCCGGCGTCCACGTCAGCACTCTTAGAGATACTCCCAAATCTGCCGCCAAACCCAAGAAATCCGCCGCCGGAGCCGCCGGAGCCGTTGCCGGAAAGAAGAAAAAGAAGCAGAAGAAGGTAGTAGATGTTGAGGAAAAAATCAACGGTAGCGAGAAAGCGTTGACTGTTGACCAAGAGAAGGTGTCAAATAAAAGTGAAGATATTAATATTAATATTAATATTAATAATATTAATAATCCGGCGAAGATTAAGGTGTATTTGCCGAAGCCGATGAGGGTTTCGCCGGGGTTTTCGAGGACGAGCAGCTACGACAGCTTGGTCAGTGGGGCGTCGAACAGCGACGGTGCCGGAGAGGCGGATGCGCCGGAGAAGGAGGAGGAGGCGGCGGCGGGGGATGGGGTTTCGTACATGCCGGTGGCGTGCCGCCGCTGTTCGAGATGGAGTACGCGACTACTACGGCGGCGCGACGGAGTAGAGGAGGATGATTTTATAATGGGCGGCGACGGCGGTGGGTTCTTTCGGCCGTTGCTCCACCACTCCGGCGATTCAATATCTAGTGATGTAAACATGCTAGAGAAAGTCTACGACGAGTATGTGCAGCTTCTCTAGACCAAGAATAAACAAATAATAAATAAATAAATAAAAACAAAAACATGTTTGAGTTTAATTTTTTTTTACTGTTTTACACTTATTTTCTTGCTTCTATTTTTTATTTATCACCTTTTTATTTAACTATAGTGGGTAAAAGTCGGAAAGTTATATGTTACACCTGTTATCTGCATCGGGTGAATTTGAATAGTAGATTTGATTAAATAATTATTCACTAAGCACATATAATAAGTACGTGTAATTATGTATAGATCCAGTATTCAAATTTACCCTGGTTAAATAATAACAAGATGTAACATTTAATTTTCTCGCAAAAATCTTGAATAGTAGGTGGTAAGTCACTTTGCCATTTTGCGCACTTAAATTTTTAACGAATCTAACTTGTCCATGGAAACCATTGAATTTATCGCCACCTTATTGGAAGAAAATTATTACATACATTGAATGGCTATAAGGAAAATAATAAATAAATTAAGTTAGTACTTAGTAGAGATCAAGTTGCATTTGATTTATTACAAGTGGATGGTCTATGATTCACCTAATTTCATGGAAATGTCGTTCAACGTTTGAAAATTCCAAGTTTGGCTACTTGTTCTTGCAATATGGTACAAGTAAATTGATGAAATTAGATGCTCCATTAGTTTATTTACATCGATTGATAGTTAATTGTAGATCTGTATATAATCACACACATCTATGTGCATGTATATTTTAGTTGGATGTTATTTAATTTCATCTAACACTAACAGTCAACTAACATAAATAATCAGATGTAACATTTAATTTTTCAATAAATTAAGTATATTTGGCTAAAAATGAACTCAACCAGTTTAGTTTATTGATTTACTATTATATTTTAATCTTTCTAAATTGTTTACTATTTTAAATTTTCACTTTTAGCATGATTTATCTATTATTCTAATATTTTTGGTTATATATTTCATAAATAGCACAACTAATCCTCTCTATAAATTAATATAGTAGAGTTCGATTAATTTAGTGAAATATTAAATGATCAAGCTAATAATTTAGTAATTTTTCATAAAATTGAAATCAAAATAAATTATTATTTAAGCAAAATTATTAATTTATCGAAATTCTGCTATAAAATATTTTTGTCATTTCACCAATTGAGATAAAGTATAGTTTTCGATTAAAGTGCAAAGTTTTGATTGACTAATAGTTATATTTATGAAACATCTAGCATTTCAAAACCACCATGGTTGCATGGAATATACAACATTGGACAATGTGAGCTTTTATAGTAATATTCTTTTTTTTAAATGGGATGGGACATATAATTAAATTGGATAAGTAGCTAGCTGAATTAATGCTTGTAGAATTCATCTAATTATAAAATTTAAAGATAAAAAGAATTGCATAAAATATTATCATTGATGGGTCCCAGTCCAATTTTTACTCAAAATATCTATTTACAATAAATGATGATTCTCCAATTTATCAATACCGACTCTTGTCACATGACCCATCCTTTTGCGCGTGACTTACACCATTAGAAAGAATTACTTGGGGCGGCTCTAGGAAATTTATCTTCTCGACAAGGTTTTCATAGGGATGACAATGGGTACGGGTTTGCCGAATGTTAGATTTGGAACTAATCCATTTGGGGCGGGTTTGAGTAAATTAAATTGTTTTGAGTCGGATAAATGGTTTAAGTAAAATCAATCAGTTGTCAACCACCACTAGCCGTCTTGCCTTTTGAACTTTACTTATCATAGAAGTTAAATAAAATTAATTACATAATTTTATTATTCACTTTATATTACTTGTAAAAGTATTTTAATTTTTAGATTATTTTGTTAAAATATAGAAGCAAAATATTATGGAAGTTAAAAAATAATAATTTTTTTTAATGTAAAGGGGTCTAACAGTCCTAGCGGGTCAGAACTGTTTAATTTCGGGTACGGGTTGGGGCGGGTTTGGATCTAAGCTGAACCAAGTTGGGATGGGTCTGACTTTTATATATTTTTCACGGGTCGGGTCTCGGATTTAGGCAAACCCTGCCATCCCTAGGTTTACAGGAGTTTGTGGACAGTCTTCTCGAGCTTCTTTTTTAGGATTAATTTAGAAAACAACTATGAAATACTTATTATTAAAAAAAATCTTGAAGGCGGCTCAAACTTCGGTGGCAAAAATTGGTCAATAATTTTTTTTTTTAATTCAAAATAAAAGTTGAGATTTCAATTAAAAAAAATGAGTTTATGCATTATTTTGTTTATGTTAACTGTTATTGTTAAAGAATCTAATGATGTATGCCAGTAAGGTTTAAGAATAAATTTAAATTCAAAAAAAATTACCTTTGTATTTATACTTTATAAGAATATTTATGTATGATGATGATATTATTATTAAACTTTTATTATATTATTATGATATATACATGATGGAGATATAACTATGTTTAAATATCTTTTTATATATGTTTTGAAGTATTTATATATAATATCTATAAATATATTATATATTACATTTTGAAAATCAATTTATCATCGATTAATTACCGTCACACTGATTAATCGTAAGTCGGTGCCTAACTACCTCTAACTCGATTACTGCTTTTTACGACCTTATTATTACACGCCGTACATAATTATTTTGGTATGGTAATGGTTATGAATCCCATTATCACGGTATTCTTCTACCGTACCTATATATTAATAAATAATAAATTATAATAGATTTTTATAAAAAGGAAAA